TACTTATCTATATTAGCTAAAATGCCCCTGTCATCAGATCAGGTCCCAGCTTCTATTTTGCAGTTGAGACATGTAGCAGAGAGCTTATTTCAGTAGAGAGAACCTAGTCCCAGCTTCGGTCACCGAGGTTCAAGTGTGGTACGACATTTAGGACTGATTGCGAAACGAAGTGTCTGCATTCAAACTAGCTTCTAGCTGGGCGATTCTCGTGTTAACAGATATGGTAATTGCAGTCGAATTCCGCCACAGGCTCCCCAGCTCACGACGCAGCCACAACTTTCCAACGCCGAATAACGCCAAGTATCGTCTCGGGAGCCGATTGGCCCATTTAGATCCCATTTATGACTAAACTGTCCATACCATTGTCTGCCCCTATACTTGTTACGCGAGGTGGCGTAGCCCATCAAGGTGCTCTCCTATAGCCTTTACTGGACTTGGTGGGGAGAATGAGTCCGAGGGCCAGAAAAAGTGTCCGGACCGATGGTTCTACAGATAACATAAAAGGCAATGGTCCATTTAAATCTACTGCAGATCATTACTCTTTCGTTCTCTCTCAAGTCTGCTGATCTGGTGTCGATCAATCATTACACATCACATCACCATGATACCCTCCATCATCTTCTTCCCAATCTTGGGTGTCCTTGCCTCTGCGCAAACAACAACTCTTAATGTTCTCTTCCCTGTTGAGGGTATCAAGTCAGTCTACGGTACCGTAGTGGCAGCAAGTCCCCAAGTCACCACCTTCGCCCTTCACTGCGGCGAAAAGGTCGACAATGTCCAATGCGAAATCATCGGCACCCAGACCGTGGTGGTTTGGCCAGAAACCTTGTCCATCAACTACTCGTTTGATGGCAACGACAAGGTTTCTTATTTGTAAGCCAATCTACTAAATAACGTCTAGTCAACCGAACTGACCTTGTATGCTTAGTTCTGAGGATCTGAACTGCAAGATCAAGACTGCCGAGGCCAGCTGCCACATCTGGATCCAGACCGAGAACTCAGCTGGTGAAAAGGTTACCACGTCCTTGTCCAATTATGAAATGAACACCAAAACCCGCCTGATGCCCGCTATCATCACTGAAGGAGCTGAAAAGCTCCAAGCCACAGAGGCCACCGCGACTCCTACGCCAGATGCTATGACATCCACGGCTACAAGTCACTCACACGTGACGCACGAGGCTGCTGGGACCTCTTCAATGCCCAGGCCTACTCCGTCCACAGCTACAGGTGATGCCGCTCGGGGCATGTCACTCCATGTTGGAGTGGTCGGGCTTGCCGCTGTTGCTCTAGCCTTCCTGATTATGTAGTTCAGTGATTGGATGATATACACTGGGGTACTGACTGATTGTTGAAGAAGTAATGCACTTTTTTCTCTGTAGATAGATCTGTTATATAAGCAGAATTCTCGGATTTAGTTACTATAGCTATATATTATTAAATCTAGTTGCTAATACCCTCAGAACTCCTTGATGTTCCCATTCTAGTCAGTATATCCTTTTGCTCTGACGTCCATACTTCCTCTATCTCATCAGATAACACAGGCACCTGACCTTTTAGTTCCCTTGACACAGCTTCCACCTCACCCAGAACCCTGATTATGTTACCGCCAAGTACTTGTGTAATGATATCCTCTGAGAGCTCACGGTCTAGAAGCTTCCCAACAAGTTGCGGGTATCTGGACACATCATCCAGATCTTTTGGACCTTGTAGCATACCATCAAAATCGGAGCCAATGCCAACATGCTCAAAGCCTATCCTTTGACCTGCGTATATAATATGATCAATAACCTGATCGACCACAGCTCCCTGAACTCCGTTGGCGTTGACGAGGTTAGGGAGAAAGCAGATCATTATAAGGCCATTGTTTGTCTTAAAAGATCTAGGACCTCATCTGTGACGTTGCGAGGACTGGGTAGTAGTGAATTACTGATTTGGTGAGACTCTTTGTTCTTTAACGCTGCAGTAGATGAGGACTTACCAAGAGGAATGAGAGAAAATGACTGGGGCTTGAGAGACACCCAAGACTTGTTTCTGAGTGTCTGCAGTTGTGTGCGATAAGTCGACTATCCTGCGACGGTGGATATTAGCAGGAATAACACGAAAGGCACTCTAGACAACTCACATGCCGATACGGTTCATCTCACGTATCATATCCAGGCCGTAGCTAGATAAACCCCCATTTTTATTCTTTCCGTTCTAAGATAGCGTTAGCCAAGTCTTTAAACCGACCTCAAATACTTACCGAGGAATCAGCATATAGATTATCATCATCGTGGCAGAGAGTGATGTATCTGACACCCAGTTTGTGAAACAGTCTCACAACAGAGGAACTGTCAGCAATCTGATGTAGGCCTTCAACACCGATCAAACTAGCAATCCTTCCTGATCTGAAAATTGTTTCGATGTCCTTTGACGAGTTTACTGCTCCGAAATACTCAGAAAAGGTCTCAACGAGTAAGTGAATAGTGTCAATCTGCTGTAAAGTCTTCATCAGACACTCAAGCTTGCCGAGTGCATGGTTAGTTTTTGGACTAAGAGGAGTCAGAACAGGCACGGTAAGATGAGAATTTGGAGCTAACAAACATTGGGACGAAGGCGCTCCAAAATTGTCCACCAACAAGGCCTTTTCTCAGTCGAGTTAAATCTGTTTGGCCGATAGGCATATTATGAATCCCAGGAGGGAAAAGCTCAAAGCTGTTTCGAAACCATCCCCGGATGATGTAAGGAAAGTCATTGTGTCCATCTTTGTTCCTCGTGAGTGACGGAGTATGATGGCAACTGTTTTACTAACCGATCAATGGGACTCTTTTCAGCAGGGCATGGGCCTGCGACAAGGATTCATCAGGTGTTGGAGCCATGTTTTATCAAGTAAATCATTGACAAGCTTGAACAGAACTAGGTAGCACTGAGCCATGATTAAGTAGTTCCGACTAGATTCCTTCCACCATTCCGACCCCAGATACGGCTATGTATGGTATCGTAGTAGAGCCACATAGTGATAAAAACTAATCTAACCAATTCTCCAACCCAGGGCTTTGCGTTGCCATGTGAATCAGGTCTCTGCTTCACCCTCTTCATCATGCCATTGAGTATAGGCATCCAAAAACCGATCAAGAGCGAGGCGCCGAACTCTTCGTACTTGGAAAGACTTTTGTGATACGCTGGTAAACCACGTAGATAGTTTTGGTACGAGGATGGCAGGCCGGATTCTTGAGCCCCCTGAATCAATAACCCCTGTTAGAGTCAGATCATAAGTATCCATAGCGTAGGTCCGCAATGCCTACCATGTACCGAAGGCTCGGAAGGGCTTCGGGCCGGAATGGAAATCTCGCCATCAAGGTCCGTACCGGAATCTCCTCACAAGTCGCCGCCCGCGCCGTAAACGCAGTTGAACAGGTCCGAGCTTTCAGCTCCATTTCGACATAGGCGACGCCCGCCCCTTCGGAGACTATCAGCCGATGATACTCTTCCCGTGAAAGTAAGTAAGCCATTCCGTGTACCGACGGCGTCGCTTCTGCATCGTCGGCCGGAGTCCTCTCTCGAATGCCAGCCATGGCGGGTTCCATGTACGGGACACCGAACACGTCGAAGCAAAGTACATGGGAGGGCACAAAGACAGGCCGAGAGTCTCTTGGGCTTAGCTGTCTTCGCTTCAGCGTTGTGCTGGCCATGTTGGAGCCGAAAGCAAAATACCAAACCATGTCGCTGTCATGCATTGTGAAAAGCCGGTATTTGAAGAGGCAGATGGTCAGTGCTGCCGAGATAGTGCTGGCCTGGATTCCTAAATATTGTGAGTAGGTTGGACAGAGTCGATAATTCGGCCCGCGTGGATGTTTTAGTGACCCGAAGATCGTAGTTGGCACTGCCTTTAGTCTTATGTGGTGTCCTTGCCCTCACTTACTCACAATCATTAGAAAGCAGCACTCAAACTTTGAGCCTCATTCCCCGTCTTCGCGATGGGCATAGTACAGCATTTGACTAGCCAAGCTGCAAAGCTGCAACATTTACCCTTTCATTACGGGATTGCCTTGCTACTGGCACTGACCTATGGTCTTTGTCGCATGGTCCGACCGAAAAAGAAGCATAATTTGCCAGTGTTTAGACTACGAGACAACAATGTGCTGGCTGTTCTTACCGAGGCGTACAAACAGGTCCGTCATTCAGTTCCCGGCCCAATTCTCAGTTTGAGAGCTGATTCGCTTTTGTAGTACCCGACTTCGCCTTTTATGCTCGAATTGCCAGGGATGGAAATGGCTGTTCTGCCACCCGCCGATGTAGACACCATTCGTGGGCTCCCCGAGTCAGTTGTGTCAATCAAGTAAGTCGACGGATGTAGCTGGCTGTTCAACCAACTGACAGCATTTAGGAAACACCATTATGATGTTTTTCTCGGCGAATATACCTACATGGGTACCAAGTCAGACGAATTCGACTCAGCAATGCGCAACGTTCTCACTCGCAACACCCCGGCCGTTCTCGAGTCATTCACCGATGAGGTCGAATATGCAATTTTCAACACAATCGGCCCGTGTAAAGACTGGACGCCAATTATTGCTCGCAAGGCCATGTGCAAAGTCGCATCTCTTATGTCTGGAAGGGCATTCGTGGGACTTCCACTAAGTCGTGAACCAGACTGGGTCGAAGCCAATGTCAATTATACAGCCGATGTCTCCAAGGCTTGGATGATTCTCAAGATGATCCCTCAGCCTATCCGGTTTTTCGTTGCCCCATTTCTCCCTCAGGTACGAAGCTTGAAGCGTCAGCGGAAGAATAATGAGGCGAAACTGGCACCACTTCTGCGAGAGAAACAGGACTCGTCTTCTGCTACTTCTGCCA